GTTGTCTATTTGCTTTGGTTGTTGTCTCCTTAGCTGTACAGAAGCTTTTCAGTTATGAAAAACATTTTTAATAAATTTGTGTAACCTAAAACATACTTTATTTATAATGTCTATAGTAGTGCACGGTAATGTCTCAGGCCTTCACATTGACTGACTCACCCCAAGCCATTTTCAGTCTGGCAAGCTGCATTTATGGTAAGTGTTCTAGCATACCCCTTATCTTTTAATTTGTCTCTTAGATTATGTATTTTTAACCATACCTTTTCTATGTTTAGATACACAAGTAGTTACCATTGTGTTTCTACTGGCTACAATATTCAGCACAGTAACACAATTTGCAGGTTTTTATCCTACTAACAACAGGCCATACTATATAACCTAGATGTGCAGTATGCCACACTGTCTAGGTTTGAGTAAGTGCACCCTACGATGTTCACATAACGATGCAAACATGTAACAATGCATTTCTCAGAATGTGTCCTCATTGTTAAGCAACACAAGACTGTATATGGAAGTATGTGTATATATATTTATACACACACATACTTGATCCTTAGGATTCGTGGATTTGATATCTGTGAATTCACCCACATGCTAAAGTTTATTTATAAACTTCAAATCAATATTCATGGTGATTTTGCAGTCATCTGCAGATACGTAGAGCAATGAAAAATTTGAGCCAACTGACGTACATTCTCAGCTCGGTTTGAAAATTGAAAAAGGTAATGTTTGGCTTTCTAGTTTCATCTCTATTGTATGAAATAAAAGTATAAATTAAGCTGGAACATGAATGTAAAAGGGGGCTGAATAAAATAGAAATAAATAACACTTTAATGATAATCAACCTGCCATGTGTGAGCCAAGCAAAATTCGTGATATGCCAAATACAGACTCTAAAGAGCCCTATATATTTACATAGTTAGATGGACACACATGTTGACATGGAAGTCAAAGATGCCAAGTATGGTCACAGAAGCCAGAAATGATGTGTTGCTTAAATCATGGTACCATCTGTTCAACAGCCAAACACATGTATTGCATTAAAAGAGTGTCCCTTTATTGGTATACTTATACTTCACGCATGTTTTTCACATCTTTATGCTTTGTGGTAGTGATTTTGCTGTTTAACAAGGTCTCAAAAGATGGTGTTTAAGTGCTGTCTAATGTTCCTAGGCATGAGGAATCTGTGATGTGCCTTATGGAGAAAATACAGGTATTAGATAAGCTCCATTCAGATATGAATTTGAGTATCATTGGATGTGAATTCAATGTTAATGAATCAACAACATATATTACATAAGGTGTCTTTAAATAAAATGTTGTGATCAGAGGCTCGCAACAACCAATGTCCGTACTCCCCCCTATGAATAGTGGTTCAGCATTCACTAATTCAGTATTCACAGTAACTTCATACAACAGAACTGCAGTGAACAAGGAGAATCGACTATGTATATATACATATCTTTTTTTAAAATTGTTTATTCCCTTGCCTTTTTGTTGTTGTTGTTGTTGAGATAAGGTCCCACCCTATGCCCTGAGCAGAGTACAATGGAGTCATAGCTCACTGCAACCTCAGACTCAGCTGTGAGCATCCCGCTGCCTCAGCCTCCAGAAGGCGCTGGGATTATAGGTGCTCACTGCTGCACCCAGCTGGGTTTTCTATTTTTATATGTTGGGGTCTCACTCTCTCTCTGGCAAGTCTCAAACTCATGAGCTCAAGCAATTCTCCCTCCTCAGAATCCCACAGTGCTGGGATTATAGGCGTGAGCCACCATGCCCGACGACTATGTATATATCTTGACACACACACACGCTCCCTCATCTATATACACAAATATTAATCTATTTTTACACAAATAAACTTATATATGTAATTTTATTCATTGCTATTGTTACTTGTCACATTTTTCCTACTGTAAATTTTTTTCAAACAAACTTGTGTCATAATTTTAAAGAAATGTTGCAAAGGTAATAGAGAATTCTTGTATACATTTCACCCAATTCTTGCTATCTGTTGTCATCTCCTATTACAATGGCACCTTTGTCAAAACTAACAAACCAATATTATATTACTATTAACTAACCTGCAGACTTCATTTGGACTTGACCACTCTTTCTACTAATATCCTTCTTTTGCTCCAGGACCCAGTCCTGGATACCACCAGGTTGCATTTACTTTTCATGCCTCCTATGCCTTTTACCCGTAACAGTGTCCTAGTCATTCCAAAACCTTGATAGTTTTGAGGAGCACTGTCCAGATACTATGTAGAATGTCCTTTAATCTGGGTTTCTCTGATGTCTTCCTCATTAAGTACTGGCCTGATATATTAAATGCTTAGATCCATCATTTATCTTTATATTCATAGAGAGTATCTTCCACTTAAGGCTCTGACTCCATAAAAACTTTATTAGTGCTTAAGAAGCAAAGCTAGGCTAGACAGTGGCTCACACCTGTAATCTTAGTGCTCTGGGAGGCCAAGGCAGGTGGACTGGTGGAGGTCAAGAGTTTGAGACCAGTCTGAGCAAGGGTGAGATGCCATCACTACGAAAAATAAAAACTTAGCCAAGGCATGGTGGTACATGCTACCTGAGAGGCCAAGTGAGGCAGAAGGATCACCTGAGCCCAGGAGTTTGAGGTTGCAGTGAACTGTGATGACACCACTGCACTATAGCCAGAGTGACAGAGTGAGACTCTGTTTCAAAACCAAAACATAACAAAACCAAACAAAAGCTAGAAATGAAGAGAATGACAGAACCACACAAACCCTCACCATACCTGAATTTTCTGTCCTTTGAAGGCACCATGTTTTCTTCACAAGAATCCAAAGTCATATGGCTGTATTGTTTTGCTACCACATTTTCTGAAAGATACAGAAAATTACAGACAGATACGTCACATGTACATATGTGCACAATGCACATCATTTGATAAGTTACAAACTCTGGGAGTTCTTTTGATACTGACTTTCACTGTAATTTCAAAATAATGTTCCATGATAAAATGTGCAGTAAGATTCAAAACATGAGGGGAAAAAAAAATCACTTAAAAAATCTAATACTTAATATATGTGAACAATTCAATGCTGTATCTATTCTATAATAATCCTTCAAGAAAAAAGCAATCCAGAGAGTGGCAGGTCCACTGTGTGCAGGATGTCCAGACCAGGGTAGATCTGGAGAACTGTGGCAGCACACTCTTGGTCATGTGGTCAAAAGGCTCATCTGGCCGCTTAATTCGCAGTCCACATTCTCCCTGCACCACCTCAAGTGACTGAAGGTTCCTGGAATGGGTGGCAGGGCAAACCTAGCTTTAGGAAAAGCCAAGGACGTGGAGAGTAAAAGGCTGTAACGCTTCTGGGGGGCAGATATTTTGTGTCTTTTGGTTTAAAGCATTTTAGTCAATCAGTTAGCACTTAGCTGACTGAAATAATTTTGTGTTAAACTAGAAAGCTATCTGGTAATACTTATCACTCCCTGTAACTTAAAAAGAAAACAAAACCCAAACCTATCTATATACATAGATATGTACACCGTAATACATACAGCAGAGAAACAGTATGATCTTCTACCACGTGATGCTAATACTGTACACAACTGAGTATTACACTGGATTAAATTTTATTAGATATTCCCTCAATGAACAGGTGCTAATACATTTTAAGCACTAGAACACTGGCTTCTGTTTACAGAACCAAAGTGGCAAATACTCTCAGAATAGCCAATATTGACTCTTTGAAAGGCTCTTTGGACTGAATAAACTATCTTTCCCAAATGAAAAGGCTTAAATTTTTTTTTTTTTTAATTAAAGTAGCAGGCTTATGATGGCAACTAGGCATTGTTGAAGTTTCCACGAAACTCTCCTTAAGGTTCAGAAAAGAAAAGAAATTTAACATACTGGATTAGCACTCGTAAGAAATCTTTAGTCAAAAATGACTACAGACTCAGAATTCATATTAAAATATACATCCGTCTAGAGGAAAGAAATTCTTTGTTTTGGTGAACTGCTATTTTTTAAAGTGCCAGTAGTGATACTATTAGTATGCAGTCAGCCCTCTGTAGGCACAGATTCCAGAGGATCAACTCTGGGACTTGGGGATTCATGTGGAGTTTGCTATCCTGGAACCAAGTACCCATGGATACCAAGAGTCGACTGTGTATTTTATCATTAGTTATTGGTACTCAATAACTAACAACTATCTATGCTCAATGACGACATCACGTATTAGAGTTCAATTCTGATATATAAAGATCTTCTACATATATAGAGATGATAGATTTGGAAAGGGGTTGAGGTAAGGACTGCTTGTGATTTTCTCATTACTCTCTACGTCAGATCACTAAAAAAAGAAAAGAAGAAAAATAAGACTTTCTGAGTAGAGTACTTGGCTACACGTCTAAAATAAAAACAATTTATAGACACGCATCAAGGACTAAAATTAGCTATTTGTTACTCTTGTTAAATTAGAATGAAAATGTAAATGTTCACTATTTTTAGCATTCAAATAGTTCATTCTGTCTGCAGTGACCAAATGGGCTGAATTTTATTTGCTTTTTAAATGCTTCTCTAGATTTTTTTCCTCTTTGCCCTATAATCTAAGTTATTACATTTTTAAAATACAAAGATTTTATTAACAAACTATGTAAGTAAAAATACAATGCATGGATTTTGAGTTTCTTCTTTATGATTTTAAAACTTCCCACTTAGAATTTTCAGAGAGAAAACTAATACTGAAAGAATCAAAGTTGACAGAACACAGACACTAAAATAGTGTAACACACACCTTTGTCTTCTAGAATGTGCACCGACTCTGCTAGAAGTTTGTGGAATGGTGTAGATGCCAGCTGTGCGGCAGATGTAAAGTCTCCTGGGCTCTTAGGACTGGGTGCCAGGGTTTTGTTGCAGCGAATACCCCAGACAGTTGAATCGTCCAAAAACTCTTCAGTGTGAGGCACTTCCTACAATAGAGGATGAACTGAAAAGAAGCAGCAGGCTCTCTGGTTTGTCCATGAAATCTTACACATTAACACATTCAAAAAGAGTCAAAAAAATAAGGAATTAAAAAAGAATTGCTCTTTTCCCCAGAATGAGGATAATTTATCTTTAACACATATCAGTGGCGTCACATTACAAGGGCCACATTTCTGTTTTCAATTTTTATACTTTTTTTTTTTTTTTTTTGAGACAGAGCCTCACTGTTCCCTTGGGTAGCGTGCCATGGTGTGGTGTCATCATAGCTCACAGTCTCTTAGGCTCCTGGGACCCTCTTGCCTCAGCTTCCCAAGTAGCTGGGACTACAGGCACCTGTCACAATGCCTGGCTAGTTTTTCTGTTTTTAGTAGAGATGGGATCTCGCTCTTGCTCTCACTGGTCTCAAACTCCTGAGCTCAATTAATCCACCTGCCTTGGCCTCCCAGAGTGCTAGGATTATAGGCATGAGCCACCTCACCTGGCCAATTTTTGTGCTTTTTAAAATTTGACAAAAAGATTTTAAAACAAGATTTGCAGAAGACTTATGAAGGTAGTACAGAATTCTCAGATACCCTCACCAAGCTTCCTCCATTGTCAACCCTGGCACATTTGTAAAAACTAAACAATATTAGTAACTACAGACTATTTGCATTTCCCCTTTTCCACTAACGCCAGGATCCCACGTTATCTTTACTTGTCACACCTACTAAAGTCTCCTTGAGTCTACTGGTCTTTCTTACACTGATACTTCTAAAGACTGCTCAGAAAGAAACTGTGTAGAATGCCCTTCTAATTTGGGCTTACTTGATGTTTTCCTGGATTAGACTGGGATTTATTACCTCGTATTAGGGGATATAGGCTATCAACACAACTTATTCCTGGTGAAGTTAGCCCACTTGGTTGGGGGAATCCGCCAAGTTTCTCCACTATAAATAGTTTTCTCTTTCCCTATTCCCTTTATTAGAAGTAAGTTACCAAGACTAGACACATTCAGAGGGAGGCAAATTAAATTCCAACTCAAAGAACTTGTGGATAAATGCTAAACCACCGCAGTAATTAATAAATAATTTTGGTGAGATACTTGGAGACTGTGCATATACTCTGTTTCTTCTTAAATAATTATTGAACAATGTTCTAAAGATGTCATTCTTCAGATACCATTGTATTTTTCAGTACAACTTTATATATACCGTATCACTTGACTGGCATAATCATTTGGTAAAATGGAGAGGAAAGGGTTCACAGATGAAACAGAGATATTTGCTTACATTTGCTTTTGAAGGAAATCTGCTGACAGAGCGTTCTCCAAAGGTCCTGGCTCCTGTGGGCTTATTTTTAGGCTGTGGTAATCTAAGGAAAGATTTGGAAAGTTAGTAAAATATGCTAAGGAAGTAAGTGCTATCGCTTGAGTGTTAGAAAATTCTCTACTTATTCTATCTAATGAGCTAATATTTATACAGAAATTCCTTTGACAGTTCTAGCACAACTGAGTGCAAAATGAGTTAACTTTACTTTATATATACTTATAAAAGAAGACCTATCATTACTTGAGTTAAAACTTTTAGGAGGAAGAGAAGAATGAGGCCCATGGCCAGCGGAAAGCCATGGATGCCAACACATTTTAGTTCTTCTTTTCAGTGCTTGGTCTAGCTATGTAATTCCTCTCTGAGAGCTGGTCACACCCTTTCTCCTTTCTAACTCAACATGAATTTCTTCCAGATTTAAACTATGATATGAACAGTGAAGCAAAGCAGCTACACCACTCTACTCCCAACACAGCGAATATAATGTCCATCAGCCTAAAAGCATATCCTCTCGGCAGCACTACCCAATCTAAGCCACTTCCTTTTCTACTTTATCAATCCTGCAAATATAAACAGAGCTACATGGATATCTGTAGTGGTGAATTCATTCACATCTTTTTTGTTGTTTTGAGACAGAGTCTCACTATGTTGCCTTTGGTAGAGTGCCACAGTGTCACAGCTCACAGCAACTTCAAACTCTTTGGGCTTAAGCAATTTTCTTGCCTCAGCCTCCCAAGTAGCTGGGACTACAGGTGCCTGCCACAACACCCGGCTATTTCATTGTTGTTTGGCAGGCCCGGGCTGATTTGAACCCATCAGCTCTGGTGTATGTGGCTGGCGCCCTAGCTGCTGAGCTATAGGGGCCGAGCCCACATCTTAATACAGTTCCAAATCCACGGAATCCCTCGGTTCTCTGCTAATTTATAACCACACTGTCTTTCTTTCTCAACACATGCTTTTGTTATGGGAGGTCTGCTTTCTTAGAAATACCTCAGCTCTGTAGATCTGGAGAACTTCGGCAGCACACTCCTGGTCATGTGGTCAAAAGGCCACTTGATCTGCAGTCCACATTCTTCTTCCACCACCCTAGCATCTCAAGTCCCAGACAAACCTCTGTAGCAGCCCATTAACTATATGTTTCTTTACCCATAATTTTCTTTGTTTCCATCTTCGAACACAGGAAAACCAGATGACAGAGAATAGATAATCTTATTGACTCCCCAAGCTCCCGAAGACCCTGTATTTTCTGCAATAGAATAAAAAATACCATTTAATTACTATGCTAGGAAAAAACACTATCCTTTATGGTAAACTTCAATGACAAATATGAAAAGGTAACCGCTTAAAGAAAATAACTGATATCAGCTTTACAAAGTCCAGGCATTATGTCACTTTGTAGTGAGATGAAGTGACTTAATCAAGGTCACAGGGTCTAACACTCAAGTCCCAGGTTGTGAGTTCCTGCATACATATTACCAAGGAGTTAATCATTCTCCTAAACCTACTTACCTTTATCATGATCTCTGGTTTCTGGACAAATGTGGGTTAGTGCCAGCCTCCAAGAATCTGCCCTAGCCAGAAGGGGTACTTCTTGAGTACCCTGAGTACTCAGCCCTTCCTGGCCATTTCTATCCATGGAGGGACTTGTCCTCCTTTAGCACTTACTATTATTATTATTATTTTTTTCAAACAAAGCAGATCTATCACACACGTCGAGTACTTTGTCATGAACCACTGTATTTTTATTTCATGTATTTCCTGCCCTTATGGGACAAGCTAATCAAGGGCAGGCCACAGATAACCACCCACAATACTATGCACTTAGTAGCTTTTAGTTAAATTGTTATTACTTTGAAACTGGGCTTCAAATGCATCTTCATTTTGATCTAGAGATTGCCATTCATCTTTGTCATCAGAAATATCAGGAAGCGTAGGAGCCTGAAACATATTCATGATGAAACCTTAAAGAACAAAAAGAATGGCTGTAAACAGGTTGCAAAAGAGTGCCCATTAATTTGGAGTCACACGCTACGCTCTCAGATAAAATCCTTACCTAATGCTTCTTTTGTATGCACCGTGGGTGAGGGCTGCCCTTTGGATGGGGTTGCCTGAACCATTCCCAGTGATGTGTTTGGAGTTGTGTGAAAAGAACTTGTGTTGGCAACCTTCTGCACGTCACATCCTTGTAAAGAAATGAGGACAAAATGTAGTATCGGTAGGCAAATCAGAATAATTTAGAAGAAACACAATGTAACTTACAATTAATCAAGTTTGTCACTGTTAATTATCACTAAAGACTTCCATTATTACGGTGCTTTCATAAATTTAATTTTTTATCTTTATAATAGTTCTACAAGGTAGCTAAAGTGAACATTATCCTTTGACAGGACAGGAAATGAAGACTCAGAGAGATTACGTGTGTAGCCTGAGATCAAACCAGTTTAGCAGCTTTGTCCCAAATAGTACCCTTAACTACACGATATCCAAAGCACTGCCTGTGTGTAGTCATGATGTAAATCTTGAGACTGGCTTTCCCTCTCACTCAGCTGGAGCCGGGCATGGTGTAGAAGGTCCTGCACAGCCTAGGCCCTGTTTGTTTAGGCCCCACCTTCCTCCTCCACCTGCTCACCTCCCTGCATTGGCTTCTTTGTTGTGTTTACATCACATCAGGGACATTCTTGCCTTAGGGCTCAATAGTCAGTATTCCCTCTGCCTGAAACAGGTTCCCCATGGTGCTTGGTGGCTTCCTACCAAGTTCTCTGAAATTTCAATCTCCCAACTCTAACAACACTTCTTTCCCCCTGTGTGGGTGGGACTTTTGCCCTTTTTGTTCATGACTGTATCTCTAACTATCTAGAATAGTGCCTGGCACCTAGACAGCATGCTCAGGGAGTCTCAGTTTCATGAATGCATCTCCAGCTGTTTTGAACAGTCCAGCTACTCGCCAAACTGACAGTGGAAAGGATATCCACAGTCACACAGGAGGAAGAAGCGAATGCCCAATCTGTGCGTCTTATTTTATTTATAAAACCTACCTTCTATGCAAATGCCTCTGACAAAGTGGTCCCTAGTAAGAGTATGACACTCCTCATTATACTTTGGATAGCCCCTCCTACCTAATCTACTAAAGGGGACTCTTCTTTTTAATCTGCCGAGAAATTTAATAGAAAAGTTTTCACGAATTAAGTTTTCAAAGGATTCTAATCTAAACTAGAAGATGTGACTAACAAATACATTTCTACATTTATTTGAAATGGTTCCAGACTTAAATATAACTCTAAGAATAGGAAGGCTAACACTCAGACTCATTAAGGTCTGAAGCTTCATAAACCACAGCCAAAAGAGACCTCTGAGCACCCTGAAGGAATCCAGTAAACAGGTCAGAAATAAATTTATGATAAGTAAACATTACCTTCTTTTATATCTGCTCCACTGTGTGGCTTGAACTCCTGAGTACTTTTACTCACACATCTAGAAGAGAAAACTTTTGAGACACACTAAAGAATAAACATGCCTGACATATTAGAATTTTTAAACTCACTCTCAAGAAATGATGGTGAAAAAAAAAATCAGTCAACAATTATTAAGCCTGTTGTTATAATACAGATGGAACTGCTTAGGTCTCTAGAGTAAGTAAATGAAATGTTTCATTTTTCCTTTCAATTTCTTTTCAGGAAAAGAATTCTCACAGATAAAGGTCAGATACTAAAACATTTGTGTGACACTGGGATTACAGGGATAACAACCATCTCTACTATGGTACCATACTAAAACATTTGTGTGACACTGGGATTACAGGGATTACCATAGTAGAGATGGATAGGTAGGACAGGATGACAGCTTCCTTCATTCAAATGATCCCATTCACTACAGAGGCTAAATGGTTAAACTCAGCTCCAGGTGCTGGGCACCCCACACAGGCACTAGAATCAGGTATCAGGAAGCACTGCTGTGCTTCAGCTGTTTAGGACACCTTTTTGGTGAATAGCTAGCAGCCATAGTAATGTGCCCCAGACCTTCAAAATAACTAGTTGTTAAGAAAGAAAAAATGTCACACAAACCATTTATATCATAGCTTACTTTAAGTATATTTGAGGTAGCAGACTGCAAATGTCTATTTAATATTGCTAGAATTATCACAATGTATCCTTTTAAGATGTAAAATATAAAGTGAAAAGCACTTTTAATTTTACAAATCCCTATAAACACATTATTCAAAAGAAAGCCAAAGTGACTGAAGGTAAAAATTTAAGTAAAGCTAGTGATGTGACATTAATTTCTGAAATCTAGAAAAAACCCTCAAAATTGAGGGGAAACCTCCAGTGCAGTATAGAGGTGGATTTGACATAGAGTAGTACCACGGGTATTGATCTCAAACTGTTCCCCTAGAAAGACAGAAGGAATATAAGAACACACATCAAGTAACTGCCTGGATATTATTCCCTGTAGGTATTCAGCCAAAACCAGTAAGAAAAGGCAGTTTCAGCTCAACAGATGTGTACTCTACAGTTACAGAGACATTGTTGAGTTTCAGAATATTGAAATTTCTGAATTAGGGAGAAAAGTATAAAGTAAAACAATTACTCTAAAAGAAGCAACAGAATAAGTAAGTCTGAAGGATGGGGGGCAATGTTTTGGTAACTTGATTTGTCAACAATTTAACTATCTAAAAATTATTTTAGGGCAGTGCCTAAGGCACTGGACCCATATGCTGAGGGTGGTGGGTTCGAACCAGGCCCGGCCAAACTGCAACAAAAAAATAGCCAGGCATTGTGGCAGGCGCCTGTAGTCCCAGCTACTTGGGAGGCTAAGACAAGAGAACTGCCTAAGCCCAAGAACTGGAGGTTGCTGTGAGCTGTGACGCTACAGCACTCTACTGAGGGCAACATAGTGAGACTCTGTCTCTAAAAAAAAAAAAAAATTCTTTTAAAAAGCAGGAGTCATTCATCTTTTACAGACTGTCTTGATAATATAGGTCATGTAAAGAAGCTGACAGATGCCATTCAATCACTATCCTCTCTAGGATTACTTGAGGCTTACCCAGGACCTTTTCTGGCCACTGCAAACATGGAGTCTGTCACTGATTGGGCTGTCAAAGGAACGGGAGGAGGTATGCTTTGGCTGACGGCTGGAGACACCAAAGCTGCAGGAATAGCGTTTGTCATCAGAGGAGCAATAGGAGGTGCCTCTCTTAGATTCTCTCTTATGTGTGCTGAGATCTGCTGATTGATGGCTGGAAGACATGGAGCTCTCAGTTCCGGCTGAGAGCCTACATTTGGCCCCGTACACGCTGGATTAACCTTTCACATTAAGCAAACAAACAAACAAAAACAAGACCATGAAGTCCAGAATATTACTAATCAGGCATTATAGCTTTTCAAAGGATGGCATCTATCTTTAGTAGATTCCTTTTCCCCCTTCAGGAATTCTGACATGAACATTCAACAGCAGAAGAATACTCTACGGATGCTTTGTAGCTTCTTAACCACAGATGCAAGAGGCTGGCATCTCATGTTTCTAACCACTGAAATAACTAGCTTCTGTAGTTGTATCATCTTATTACTTTATCTTATTTCTTTTTGTTTAATTGTGGGAAAAGATCAACAAATCAATGTTATCAAATGTTCATAAAGTTGTTCCTTCCATTAAAACATCCCCCCTTGGTGGCCATTTTCTCTTTGAAGAATAGGAAACATAAATCTAAACTGCAATGTTAACTGTAACAAAAGCATGTCTCACAACAAGGAATAACACGCTCTTCCTTTAAAATCTTTGCTTTCCTACTCACAGCTATGTAAGATTGCAATTGTATATGTTAATGTTACAAAGTTAAACTATAGGGGAGTTAATTCCTAACCATATAAAAGTATTCTTTTAGGGCAAGAACAGTTATTTCATAGACAAATGAACAAAACATAAAAAGTTCATCCTCACTTTCTGTCCTACAAGATAACTTAAAATGACCTACACCATTTTCTCACCTACCCAATTAGCAAAGATTAAAAATAATCACAATATTCAATTGTGAAGAAGGATTTTGAACAATAATCAGAGACTTTCTCTACCAGATATCAAAAGACACAAGAAAGCTATAGTAAATATATATTGACCAAAAGCATAGATATTTTAGAATTGGATTTTTTATGTATATAAAAATTTAATATATGGTAAAGATATTTTAAATCAATGGAGGAGAAAGACTGAGCTGGTCCATAAATGACTTAGGGACAACTGGGAAAACATCTGGAAAATGTATCTGTATGCCACCCATACACAGAGATAAGTTCCACAAAGAGATTTCCAGTTAAAGATAGTGGCTTAAACTGGTGCTTTACTCAGCTACTCGCTCTGAAAACCTTACCAAAATGACAGTAAAGGAATTCTAGCACCTATAATAGCTGTGGAGGAAGCTAGGGATGTTATGCTCCTCATCTCTAGAAGTTGAGAAATCTGTAATACTAGATATACCTAAGAATAGAAGGGAAGGTGGAGTTGAAAACAGGAATGTGGCATAAGTTAAGTCTGTCCAAAAGCAGATCCTGAGACCCACTCTTATAGGTGTATGCAGAAGGTGATTACCCAAGCCGGGCCTAACAGCTAATTGCGTTTCCTTCCTGGAGAAGCAATCCAAAGGATTTGGAACTAGGGCTGAGGATAGTGGCAACAGATATGAGAGAAAAAGGACTGAGTCAACCTACTTAGAAGGCAGTGGGACCTCTGGCCCCTTTCCTTGGCTCCACAAATGCTAGCAGCCCAGGTGTATACTCTCATCAAAAGTTTCTGCTCTTCACAATCAATCTGCCCAAGATAATGGACATCTCCCTGTGAAGCCAACCTGTCACCAAGTCCTCACATACCTATGGCTTCCAACCAGCAATAGCTTGGATGAGAACATAGACAAGTGTTCAATATGAAGGACAAAGATCAAAACAAACGATACTTATAAATGAAAAATCAAGGATTCTGGAAAGGAAAAAAAACTCCCATTAATATCCTCACATGAAGAGGGAAGATATTATATCCACAAAACAAGAATAGGCAGATATACAAATGAACATACATAACAAAAAAAGCAATGTTGCTGATCATAAAATGACATCAGAAATAAAAAGACTTAATAAAAACACCATAAAAAGTTAAGGAAACCTCCCAGAAAGCTAGGGAAAAAACAGACAAAGACAGAAAAAAGTAAAAAAGAAAAAGTAAAGAAAATTGGAAGATCAGTCTAGGAAAGCCTGATAAAGATGGATAGGGTGGCAAACTATCAAAACGAAAACCAAAAAACAAAACTCCAAGAAAATTCCCCAGAACTGTAAAACTACAAAGGTCCATACACAGTAAATGTGTTTGCCATGAGTGGGAGAGAAGACTTTGTGTGTATGTAGAAAGATGTGGCCAATACACAGAGAATGTTTTGTAAATTTTTAGTAAATAAAGGTACATTTAGCTATAATTTCCTATATATATTCATATATTTTTATAAGCAATAAGGTGTTTTATCTTTATGGTATTCCATGCCACAGATATCTGTGTGAAAGATTAAGCAACCACTACCCAGCTTAAATTTATTCCCAATCTCCACCATCCACTAAATACTTCTTGTAAAACAATCAAGAAAATATATGTGGCTCTAACACAATCACCTTTCCCTCTTTCCAACATGAAATGACAAACAGAAAATATATCTAGATGACTAAAGCATTGTATTCGAATTTTTGCTATGTGGTACATAGTCACTGTACAAAAACAGAAAATATACTTTAATTAAATAATTAACACATAAAGATATAAACATGTACACATACATACACAAATCTAAAACATACTACCCATTCTGTTTTGTAACTTTCTTCTCTCATCCTACATTGCAGGATTCTGCAACATCAACATCATTCTGCAACAAATTATTTTACAGTTTTCAGAAAACCACTAATTAAGATCAGATTAACTCTAAAAACAGTACACAGAGAGAAACAAGTCAACACTGTCATCAGTGCTACTGGGCAGGTGATGCACCAGTGAAGAGCATGGACGTACCTTGGACCCTTCCTGGAAAGTGGGCAGGTCCTCATGGGATGTTTCTGCCACTTGATGCAACTTCTTGTGAAGTTCATCCATTTTCTGTTTTAATAGTTGTTCTTCAAAAGCATTTGCTTCTTTCTTTTTCATATAATGTCTGTCCTCATTTACTTTAGGAAAGATTAAAAATGAATTGCATACGAAACTTAAAGTCAGGTGATCAGAGGAATATACGCAAAATCAGGAAAAGGTTTTATTTTATGAAGACATCTTTTTAAAATAGTCTTTTCCACGCTTCTTAGGTTTTAGAACTGCAACTTGTATTACCTTTTTGTTATAACATGTCAACAACATGGTTACTATTAAGTTTTGAGCATATAAGTTACTAAAAAAAAAAAAATTTACTCAACTACAACTTAAACTTTATCTTAGAATTAAAAACAATCTAACCTAAACGTTTATACCCTCATATTAATCTGAAAAAAAAAAATGCATATGAAGAAAAATATTATACTTTGTCTTAGGCTGGGCTCAGTTTAAATGTCACTTCCCCTGGGAGGTCATTTCTATCACATAAACTAGTAATTTAAAAAAATTTACATGTCGACTAACAATATTTGGCAATAGCACAGTATAATATTAACCATTTCTTACAAAACACTACGACTGTGTAAAACATTTGAAAATGACTTTTCACTTTTAGTTTTTAAAAGATATAAAGTTCTAGGGACTTTGTAAGAAGTAAAAGTAAAGTGCACTCAAGGGTCAGGGCATCAAGTACACTGTGGTCAGCTTCATTTCCAGTAACTGGTTAACAGAGCCATACCCCAGACCAGGGGTCCTCAAACTTTTTAAACAGGGGGCCAGTTCACTGTCCCTCAGACTGTTGGAGGGCCGGACTGTGGGCCCTCGAACAAGTTGGCTGCTAAGCAGGACTGGCAGTGGTGGCAAAAACACCCAGCGGGCCGGATAAATGTCCTAGGTGGGTTGCTTGTGGCCCGCGGGCCATAGTTTGAGGACACCTGCCCAGACTATCCAGAATATGACTTGAGGCTGCAGGTCACAGACTAAGAAAGAAAAACATGTCTATACTTGGCACAAAATAGGTCCACCCAAGTATTATCTGTACTCTCTGTTGTCAACTGAATATGAAAAGTAATGAACAAAAAAGGCCCACAGGTGGCCGTAGTCCAAATAATTTAAATGGTATAAAAACCCCGAGTGGAACAAGGGTTCATTTTCCTCTAAGGCTCGTGTTGTTACAACAAAGCCAAGTGTAAACACTGGTGTTAAGGCACATAGCTTTTCCAGTGAGGGACAAAACTTGATCAATAAATAACAGCACTTTGACCAGAGAACCCCTAAATGTTTTATTTGCAGTAGGTGCTGATCTTGGAAAAGTTCTTCTGAATTTTAGTTCCTAACTTAATCCTTTTACAGTACAAGTAACTTACAGATTTAGAATTACTATATACAGATAATATTGAAGAACTTTAAAAAATCTGTTTCACCAAAGCTAAGTGACACTGGTATAGATATTTACTTTAGTGCTATTTCAACTATGAGCTTTGCTGCCAAGACATAATTTAGTACTTGGACGAACATAGCTGCTACAGCTTGAGTTTAACAAAGATTTCTAGGCTTTTGGTAAGATGAGCTGGAGGCTGTTTTTTTGCAGCGTCTTTCAGCATAGTCAATTATTTAACAAAAAACGTAATTACTCAAAGAAGATGATTACTTTAAGTGACATAAAAACAACTCAAAATAAAAGACTGCATGTACCCCACTGCTCATGCTTTCTCCGTTGATTATATTTCTGGGCTCTCAGTTCTTCAAAGGAAAATTCTGATTCTCCATGAATAAGCTTCTCCTTGCAATACATAACAACCTGCTGAACATCTGCTTTGGCTGCCAAAGACGGGTGTGCAGAATATTCTGACTTAGAAATCATGATCACCCTTTTTTCCCTAGAGTAGAGAAAAACAGTTTACTGTGCTAAAGTAGCACTTGAAGGAAACCAACTCATAGATTAATACATTGACTGTACTTGCATATTTGACTCTTTATCACGAGTTGAAGATATCACTCCAGAAAGTTCTGAACCCTGAAAGACAGAAAATAAACACGAGCATTCACTAACTGAGAAGAAACCTTCCCCCAGGTTACTTCTCAAAACAGTAATGAGAAGGCTTCAGGGAAAAGGCCTGTTAATCTCAAGAAGATTTATATATGTTCTTCTACATTAGTTAATACCTGGAGTTTTAATTTTCATTTCTCCTTACAGTAACCATTGTAACTTAATCAAGTGATTAATTTTTAAAAAGCCATACTTGGTAAGCTCTCTTAGAGTCCTGACTGAGGGCTACAGTGCCGACGTATACTACTCTGTCCTCACGAGTTCCCAGTGCTGGCATTCATTCACTAAACAAATACAAACGCTTCTATCATGTTGTGCCCTTGTTAGGTCTGAGGAATATGACTACAAATAAGACCCAACTCTGCTGTCTAAACACTTAGGGCAGTAGGGAGTAATGAGGCTGGCGTATAAATTGGGACAGTTTGCACTATCTAACTACGCAAAGTTAGAAATGCATATTTTACTTCTAGGCATGTGTTACATTAATAAACCTGCATGTGTGCACTAAGAACAGGGACATTTCCATAGGACTCAGCATCAAGGAGGTCCTTGGCAAACTGAAAGAACACCTGTACTACGCCAGGAAAGATACAGGGAACCATGAGGCTGAGGAAAGAAGAAACCTGGGCACTTTTACATGCTGATAAGCCATCAGGGCAGAAGAGGTTTCAATAAGCCAAAAATCTCAATGAGAATGAAGACGAGTACAGGGGACAGACCATCTTTTCCCACTGGAGTAGCATGGAAGGATGTAGTTAAATTTATTGGTTAATGGCAGAAAATTGACTGATATCATCCGTTGGCTTCTGCTGTTTTTAAAATAGTATTTTGTCAGTCCTGAGAGACAGACTAGAAGTGGCCATGTCCCAAGTTTGAAGAGAGTGGAAAGAAGTTGGAATCTCCATAATTTGGTACTAAAGAGTACACTGAGAAACAGAAGAGATATATAAAGAACTGGAACACTGGAAGCGAACCCCAGTGCCTGAGGATTATTAGAGCTCTAATTGAGGTTACAAGAATCAATGTTTGAGGCTCTGAGTTTTCTAAGCAGGGTCAGGAGCCTCCAGGTGGGTGTGATCCATGGTGGGAATTTCCTGACCCTGTAAAGAGAGGCCAGCAGAACAGAGGCAGGGGATACGGGTAGGAGAAGCTGCTGGGGGCAGTGGGGATAGGAGGCTGTGTGGTGAGAGAGACCCCTCTTTAGGTCACACAACAAATTATATTTGAAATGAGATGTGGGAGAGGATGACAGGCCCAGGAAGTTGCCACAGGAGCAGGTGACTGACAAAGAGGTTAGAGTCATGAGAGACAGGTCAAAGAAATGAGATGTACAGGGAAGCCAGGCTGGCCATTCAACACTATTCCCAGGTTCCATATAACCCACAAATGTCACTGTTACCTGATTCTTAGGAATGCAGGCCGAGTTGTTTCCTGGGTTTGATTTTGATGTTATCTGGTTTACAATCTGATCATTTAGAGGTTCTGAGGCTCTAGCTATGAGGGAAGAGGGGATGAAATAAGGGCAAAACTAAATTAAATAAAATTATTTAATATAATATATTCCCCTAATCTTTCAGCAAGTAGCATAAGAAATAAATCAACTTATTCACACTGTCTCAGAAATTTTAACTAAAACATAATTTATTCATCTAGTTTTGGAGGCAGGGTCTTGCTCTGTTGCCAAGGCTAGAGTGCAGTGACATCATCACAGCTCACTGCGACTTCAAACTCCTGGGCTAAAGTGACCCACCCATCTCAGACACCTGAGTACCTGGGATTTTTAAGTATATGCTACCAGAAATGGCTAAATTTTTTTTTTTTTTGGTAGAGATAGGTTTTTTCTATGTTGCTCACGCTCTGGTGTCTAAAACTTTTGAGAGGTCTCAAACTCTTGGCCTCAAGCAATCCTACCCTGATCTCCCAAAATGCTAGGATTACTGGCATGAACCACAGCATGGTCCTTAAAACATGTTTTAGATAAGAGAAGTATTATAGAGACAATTCAAAATGCCCAAGGAAATACCCAAAAGAAATGTAAAACCTCAATTTTATTTGAGGTTTTTAAACCTCAAATTTTATTTGAGTTATTTTAAACCTCAAATTTTATTTGAGTTATTTTAAACAAGAGGATAGGATATTCAAGGCTTATTGCTGAAGTGTGATTTTTATTTCTCAGGAAAAAAAAAGGCTACATTCCTTTAAAAGTTGCATTAAACACATTTGATTCAATTCAAAACAGACCGAGTCCAGAGTTAGTGTTGTCCTCTATTTTAGGCAATTTTCATTTTTTTTTTTTAAAGACAGAGTCTTGCTCTGGTGCCCAGGCTAGAGTACAGTGACATGATCATAACTTACTGCAGACTTGGATTCCTAGGTGCAAGTGATTCTCCTGCCTCAACACCCCAAAGTGCTGAGACTATAGGCACATGCTACCACACCTGGAAAACTTTGTTACTTTTTGGAGAGATGGATTTTTGCTATGTTGCCCAGGCTGGTCTCAAACTCCTGACCTCAAGCAATCCTCCCACCTAGGCCTCCTAAAGTTCTAGAATTATAGCCACCATGCCTAGCTGTTTGCTCTTATAAAGTGTTAAGATAGAGCCCCTGTTCTCCAGAGCTATATAATTGGGCATTATGATTATCAAAATGTTTTCTCCATAACCCGAGACAGCACAATTTGGTTTTCATTAAATGCCAGAGTGATCTGTCTTTCAAAGGGGAGAGGTGGAGAAAGCAGTACAAATCAAAGACTAAGTTATCGACAATTTAGATACTGTAGAAAGCCTTATTTTACCTTGAGCAGGCAAACGGGGTTCAGTGAGGCGTGTCTGAAATAACCTAAAGGACAGTGGAAAGGACATCACTATAGATTATAAATGTATGGTTTAATATATATCTGTATTATAGTGGAAACTAAATACCATAGGCAGTTTATCGTAAGCTAGTAAAAACAGATCAAGAGAGAACATACAGGTTGAATTTTAGAGTTGGTGCAAAATTTAAAAATTCTGGAAGTATCTTCATATCTAAAACACTATTAGAAAAATCTTCCTTTTGACTAGTTTATGTCGCTATTTCGCAAATTTAAGTAACAAATACACCCTTTTTCTCTATGTATCCAGTCTGTAAATGTCCTTACACAAGACATTTGAACTCCTACTTTAGGTGTTTTATACCTTTGGGACCTAAGGAATATAGTTGGAAGAAAGAAGTACAAAAGTACTTAGATTACTTCTTTAAGAGAAAGCTGTATTACTGCTCACCCTCTGTGAGATCTTCTCATTTGTCATTTCATGGTCCCTCTGTACATCAAATCTACCTGTCAAGTAATGTGCAATTTTCAAGCCTAACATTTTCAGGTGACTCAGAGACTAAGAGATGTGCAATCATCAAATGCTAAAACTTGTTGGCTCTTTTAATCCAAAAAAACCAATGGTTAAAAAAAAATCCATTTTATGTGATGCGGAAAGACTGAAAATTAGATACTAAAAAATTATTGATGATTTTTGTCAGGTTTTATAAACTAAAATAAAATCTTAAGTCCCCTCCTTCAACCAACTGAACCCCCTCTTGACCCGGGTGATCCCAGAAAAACCTTAAAGCTGAGTTGCTGGCCCTGAGAAGGGAGGCCAGACGGGTCAAGTTCTGCCTTGTTCTTTGGAGTTATTTTTTGTAACACTAAGATACGAAATCATTAATAAGCCTAAGGCCATATAAGACAAAGGTTAAACCACATCTATAAGTCATCAATTTACTTAACAGATTACTGGGCTTTTAGTATATATCTGGTGACTTATCTCCTAATCTCAGACTTCCTTATCTTAAAACACTCCAAGTTTTTGGACAAAGTTTCATTTCATTAACCAATTACAAATTAAGGAAACTTTACACCGACCTGCAACCTACAAACCCCTGCTGTGAGAGGTTCTGCCTTTTTAGGCAAAGTCAGTGTATGCTTTTTATATATTGATATATGTTATGACTTCACGTGTGATTCCTGTCTCCCTACAAGGTGTAAAACCAAACTGCAACCCTTCTACTACAGGACCACTTGCTCAAGGCTTCTTGGGCATGGATCTCTTGGCCATGGTCGCACAAATTTGGCTCAGGATAAACTTTGCTTTGACAATGTGATTATAAAATACAGTTGAGAAGAAATAAGCTTTCAGAGATGTTTAGGGTAAAATATTTTGTGGTTTTAGCTTTGTTTGAAAATTCCTTAGCATAGAAATCACATGATTAATAATTATTAAAAGTAGGCGATAAATGGAGATTCATTATGCTCATTTTAAAGTTTTTTAAAAAGCCTGAATACTGTACAAAGGTGACAGTGGATAATGAGTCTCAAATTCTGATGAAAGCAGACAGAAAAACGTGGGGAAACCCTGGAGGAGGCAGCTGGGTTATATGCACCACCAGCCTTGAAACTCTTCATCCTTCCTTTGAGTCAATAGTTTCAAGTGAGACGCTATCAGAAAGGACAAGATAAAAATAGGAAATGTATTTAAAAATACTTTTATGACAAAGAAAAAAAGACTTTGACACAAAGCTACCTATGTAAATAGGGCAGGCTTGCAATCCTGTAATAAGGAGAAAAAAAAATGCTAAAGGGTATTTTGCTTCTTTAGTTTTCTCTATTTTCAGAATTCCCTAAATGAGGCATATTTAATCACAGATAAAGTTAAAAATTGTGAACATCAAGTTATTTATTAAATAACTTTGGTTAACACGGTATTCCTTATAAAAATCAAAATGTTGTGAACAACTTAAATGTCCAATTGGAGAGTAGTTAAATTATGGCATGACCCTGTCACGGATTTCACAACTACTTCCGAAATAGTTCATTACTTCTGAAGAGAAGTATTAAGCTTGACATGTAGAACCAGACAAACAGGATGACTTACTGTTAAAATATACAAACACAAAGATATGTACAAACACAGGAAAAGATGGTAAAAGGAAACACACCAAAATGTTCGCAGTAATACTTCTGGGAAATTTCTTTTTCTTTGCACTGCTCTGTATTACTCGCATTTTCCACAGTAAGGACTTCCCTATACAAATAGATAGCAATAGAATTTTTTAGAGAAAAATTACATTTGAAAGTAGATTATTTCCAAACTACCTGTACTGCTGTTGCAGCAGCTCCCTGGGTTCCGCTTGGTTTTGAATTCCTCTCCGGAAAACAGCACTGGCATGCTGCAGCTCTCCCTGGGTCTCCAGATGCTCTGCCCATGCTATGTACAGAAGGGATGACAGGGTTCCAACCCCATGGTTGTACAGAAACTCAAAAAACTGATGAAGGTCGCTATTGAACTCAGCCTAGAGGAGCCCAAACAAAAAGACATAAGAACAATAAGACTGCTAGCCGAGGTCTGGCCACCTACCACCAGAAGTCAACGTTCCTTTAGTCTTTGTGGCAGTCTCAGCATGTACTGTATAGGGGGTAGGCGAGTCTCAGCATGTACTGTATAGGGGGAGGCGCATGTGGTTCTCTGACGGTAGACCTCAAGGTTAAGCCCATCCCTTTCCTTTACATTTAATGTCCCCACACTATAGCCACACTATTTCCTAATATGGTGGGTCTATTTTGACCATCACGTAAATTATTATTTTTGTCTTAATCCGAGCTTGCTCCATCTAATTCTATGAGACACCTCTAATCGTAGTGTTTTGTAATTTAGTGAATTCACATTTATCTTATCCAATCCATTGATTTTATTACTGGAGCTCATGCCCCTGTCCCCTTACTTCCAGACTGAAGAGGCCCAACCTTTTAAAGCCTAAACTGAGGTGGCCATTTCCTTTTAGTACTAAATTTTAATTTATTCCCAGGAATCCTCTTAGAACCTAGGAGTGGCCCGCTTACCTTCCCTTCCCCAAATATACTTCTCATACAACAAACTTTTATTTAATGGTTTCTATCTTATGCTGCGACATATACAGATTTAATACACAGAAGAAGATTTTAAAATTTAATAACTGACTACATTACAGAAGCCAAAGGTTCTAAAATACACATCACTGGCCATACAACATCTAAAAATTTATGACTAGTATATTATAAAATCTAAGCAAAAAAACAAAGAAGTTTTTAAAATTAAAAAATAAAATAAAATATAAGCTATGTGTCACATAAAAATGTTTTGGTCAACAACAGACCAAAACAATGGGGGCGGGGTGTCCCATAATATTATAATGAAGCTGAAAAATTCCTATCACCCAGTGATGTCCAAGCTGCCCTGATCTTGTAGCTCAATGCATTAATCACATTCGTAGTGGTGTTGGTGTAAACAAACCTACTATGCACCCGGTTGTATAAAGGTATAGCACCATACAATTACAGAAGACTTGGTAAGATGTTTTTTTGTTTATAGGTTTACTACATTATACTTGAAGTCTATACATAGCATACAGGAGTGGCCTTCACATTTGCTGACTCACCCAGAACAACTTCTAGTCCTATGAGCTCCATTCATATACAGGTATGTCATTTTTTATCTTTTATATTGCATTTTTACTATCCCTTTTCTATGTTTAAAAACACAAGTACTTATATACTTCCCACAATATTCAGTATAGTAACATGTTATGCAGGTTTTTCCCCTGGGAGCTATAGCTATATCATATAGCCCAGATGTAAAGTAGGCTCTACCAATGTTTGTGTAAATACACGCTATAATGTTCACACAATAAAACTGCCCAATCATGCACTTTTCAGAGTGTGTCACCTCTGTCAAGCAATGCATGACTGTAATAAAAACTGATTTGAATCTCTATAGCTTCAACAGTGTATTGATTTATTTTTCTGATTGTATCCCCTTTGTTAAGTGATACATGATGGTATATATTTAGTCTCTGTCCCATTTCCTGGAATATACTCCTAAAACCCTGGGAATTTTCAAAGTTATAAGTGGCTTTTGGTATGCTAATGAGCTAAGGGCTGACAGCCCCTAGGTATCTTCAGATTGGGGATCGTAACATGCAAAACCAAAGCAGGACTAAAGGTTTGGGACTCTGGTTCCTGTCCTCCAGAGAGGGAAGAAGGGCTGCAGATTAAGTTGACCACCAATAGCCAATGCTTTAATCAATTGATTGAAGCCTCCATAAAAACTCAAAAGGGCATGATTCAGATGAGCTTCCAGATAGCCAAACACATGGAAATTCTTGAAAGGTGTCACATTCAGAAAGGACAAGGAAGCTCCATGTCCCTCCGCTGTTGTTGAATAACACAGAAGGAATACACTGTCCTATCCATCTCTCCCCCCTGGTATTCATTGTAATATCCTTTATAATAAACCAATAAATCTAAGTACAGGCAGTCCCTGGATTACAATGACCTGACTATGGCATTCCATACTTATGACGGGCTCCCCATGAGGATAATTTATAACAAAATAATTAAATGAATAATTCAGGAACTAGTTTCTTCTCCAAATGTACACAAACCCACACCCTTGCACAGCATCTTTACACTAGTAGCTGGTCAAATAGAGAAGCAGCTGAAACACAAGAGTACAAAGGATCAGAAAATCCACACCAAGAAAGTTTATCACAAAAGAATTAGCTGAAGTATGTCATCTCACCAAAGCAGGATTTGCTAAGCTTGAGGAGCAAAATCTTAACATTGAGTGGTTTACAAAGGTTTGCTGCACAGTTAGCAAAAATATCAGCTACTGCAAGGCTATTTACAGGTGGCCATAAAGTTCATGTGCAATTTTAAAATCACACATGAACTTTATGGCCACGCTGTATATGACAAAAGAAAAAGGCTGTGCAAACAACCCTAGATACTCACGTCAGTGGTAAGATCCCTTGCTCTACAACAGAATCAAATCTTGATTCTCCCACACCCACTCCATCCTCTCTAGCACCATCTCCAGCTTAATCTTCTGATTAATGTCAGTCTACCTTCTTGTCTCAAAATGTCCCTTTCAGTAATGATGCAACATCAGCTGAGTGTTCCTTTTTAAAACTTCTCTTATCTCCTATCTAAACTGTTTATATGAGTTTGTTTTTATGTTCCGTTTGTTTGAATTAAAAGAGCATAATATTTTCTGTAATTTATTATAGTGCAGAGGTATTATAATTATTGCAGTATTACACTGCATTATTACCACATATGAGCCATTATAGTACTGTTATTATTACTGCCATATATACTGTTCATCAGAGATCCGATATACATACAAATCCAACCTACAGACATTCTTAGGAATATATCTCATCTGGAACCCAGGGATGCTTGCCAGTGTTTCCCAGAGTTATGTGTACCACTAGCAAATTAACTGAACCCATGGAGGAGGTCCTGGGGAATGCTGCTTTATAAGCCAGTCAGAAACACAGATAAAACAACCCAGGCTTGTAATTGGCAGGAGTGGGTGGAGGCACAACCTTGAATTGAAGAACACCCAGCTGGTATCTGCTGCAGAACTGATTGGTTGCTGTTAGGGAGAAATCCCTACACACTTCTTGGTGACCAGAGATCACAGAAATCTGTGTCGTTGAATAAGGGAACAGAAAAAAGTTTTTCTTCTTATATCTTCAGAATTAAAAACAAAGCATTAAAATAAAATACAGCCTAAAATGATCTTATGATCTAGGGGGGAAAAACCAAAAGTACAACATGATACAGATGAAAGTATGAAAGTATACTTACAAATTTTAAACAATAATTAATGAATCTTGGGTCATTGTGGTATCTCTTCTTATCTAAAAACTCCTTCATTAAATGTTGTAACAAAGTTGTCAAGTATTCTTTATTTTCAGGAAAATTCTCTTCTACCCATTGCATGTAGCTAGAAAAGTAAGAAGGATGTTAATTTTCCATAGGACAGCATATATTATAGTTTGTTTAAAGGAAAAAAAAATGCTAACCTTTCCCATTCTCCAAGTGGATCATCACCCTTATAACTCCGCATATGGGCTTCAAACATTCTAGAACAAATAACAGTATGCACAAATATTAGGAATAATTTCTAAAAAGCAAAACATCATTCACGTGTGTGTGTGTGTATATATAATACATACCCACACACACACACACACATATATATATTTATATATACCTTATATATAGTTTATATTTACCTTAAAATCAAAATCTGGAATACCAATCCAAATGCTATATAGAATTTAAAATAACATGCACCCAGAAGTAGCCAGAACACTCAGAAGCAGCCAGTGTTTTTCCAGAAGAAAGTAAGGCCCCAGCTCCATCCTCAAGAGTCTCCTCCTCTCACTGGATCAGTGAGAGGACCATCCAGAAGTTTGTTGCTCCTTCTCCTAACAGTGGGATCCAGGTGAGGCACTGACTCAGTCCCCAGCCCTTGCTTCCCAGGAGCATGGCTGAGCCACAACTGAAATGGAGGTTCAAAGAGGGCTTGTAAAAGAGTGTGAGATAAGCCCAGGGTACCAGAAATGAGTTTCCAGATACTGTTTTCCTGGCCTTACTGTAACACAATGTTCCGGATAAAGAACACATGATGGGAGTACTGAGAAATCAGTCCCTGGAGTGTCCTGAGAACTCTGCTTCCCCAACTGCCACAGAGCCAATCACAGCTTAAAAAAACCAACCAAACAAAACAAACTCTCCGAGGGAGCTCAGGTGCTAGGGCAGTGGTTCTCAACCTTCCTAATGCCGCGACCCTTTAATACAGTTCCTCATATCGCGGTGAACCCCAACCATAAAATTACTTTCACTGCTACTTCATAACTGTAGTTTTGCTACTATTATGAATTGTAATGTAAATATCTGATTTGCAGGATGACCCCAAATGGGTCACGACCAACAGGTTGAGAACTGCTGTGCTGGGTAAACAAACTAAAAGAAACGTGTAAAATAATGTTTACTTAGAAAACAAAGCAAAACAATAAACGAGAAGGGTCAGAGTGTGATAAAAGTTACTATTTTTAGGTAGGGTGGTCAAGGAAGGCTGCCTCTCAGAGGGGAGGGCATGTTGCTATCTGGAGGAAATGGTCAAGACTGAGAGAACTTCAGACACTGGACTCTGTCAGAAACAGAAAATCAGCGTGGTTTAAGTGTGATGAGCAGGGGATATTTAGGGTGACAACCATTAGCTGGGGAGTGAGAAGTGGGAAATCAGCTAGGAAGCCTTTGGGGTAGTGAGTTGGACCAGGGTGTGAAAGACATGATGGGGCTTCCTCATCAGATCGCATACTGGGTATGAGAGTCAAGTATAGGAAGATTCCTAGCTTGCCTAAAAAATTACAATTTTTTTTTTTTTTAGGAAAAAAAGATTTAAAAAGCAATACTTCTCACTATCACTTCAGTATACAAATGAAATCGATGTTTCTTATGACTCAAAATCCAGAAGCCACAAAAGAAAAGCTAAAGACAACTATATGTAGATAGAAAGCTTTTACATGTCAAATAGACAAACAAAACATCAAGTAGAGTCAAAAGAGAAATGATAAACTGGGAAAACAAAAGAGCTTTCAGAAATTGAGGGAATTTTCTTTTAAGAATTGTTCAATTATTTTTTTTTTGAGACAGAGCCTCAAGCTGTCCCCCTGGGTAGAGTGCTGTGGCATCACAGCTCACAGCAACCTCCAACTCCTAGGCTCAAGCGAGTCTTCTGCCTCTGCCTCCCAAGTAGCTGGGACCACAGGCGCCCGCCACAACACCTGGCTATTTTTTGGTTGCAGCTGTCATTGTTGTTTGGCGGGCCCGGGCTGGATTCAAACCCGCCACCTTAGGTGTATGTGGCTGGCGCCTTAGCCACTTGAGCGGCAGGAGCCGAGCCAAATTGTTCAATTCTTAAAAATGAACAAAGGGCATAAAAAAGCATATCACAGAAAAATACTCATGGCTCTCAAACATGAAAAGAAGTCCAACCGCTCTCATAAGAGAAATTTATCTAAGATACAATTTTTCATCCATCAGATTGGCAAAAATAAGAATTGTGAATGTGTAGGTGAAACAATCTATCTGGCTTGTGTGCTCAATTCCTACCAAGAGAATTGGCAACATCTACCAAAACCTAAGCCTGATTTGCTTTTGATACATGCAAAATGCCCCATGTGCAAGGTTATTCACTGAGGCACTACTTATATTAGCAAAAGATTGTCAACAACCTGTGTCTATCAATAGAGGACTGTTTGGATCAATTATGGTACACCTATGTGAAATATTATGCCACAGTAAAAAAATAATGAGAACAAAATTTACATATGGAAAGAGATTTCCAAGGATACTGCTAGGCAAAAAGAGTAGTTTACATACTCTGCTGCATTTTACTTGAAATAAAGGCAGGAAATGTACACACACAAACATAGAGACGTTGAATATAATAATACAAATATATACACTTCTAATCAAGAAAAATGGTTACACACGAAGGGGGAGGAAGAAAGGTATCAGAGCTCTTGATAAATACTTTTCTAAATCTTTCTTTTTAGCCATATAAATGTATTACTTTTAAAAAATTAAAAATATTGCATCTAAATTTTGAATCTCTTTCATGCCTCATAGCAGGGGGATAAATCTGTCAGACCTTTTCTCCCAAAATATGTAATAGACCTGCCCAAGGTGAACATTTCATGTTTTACTACCAAACAAATTTTCCTAGTAAAATGGCCTAAACGCACTGTAAGTTAATACTAGAACACCCGGTTCATTAAAGCAAACAAATCTTTAGAAAGTCAAAATAAGATAAAAAAAAAAAAATCCCTAATTTACCTTTAAAAATAGGATAGGGGACTTGCAAAAGAAAATAGATGCAGGCTAAATTAAAGGCCAAAGAAAAGGTCACAAAGCAAATAGAACTTTTTTTGACTGTATTTAACAAACTGTCTTCTGATCCCAAAGAACCGATAAAACTAACCAGTTTTACTTGCTGTCACATACAACAAGTTTTAAATACTTTCTAATCACAGTCTGGATAAATCATGTAAGTCATAAAACAAAGGCGTGGAAATTTAAAAACTGTAAACAGGCTGGCACTTTAAATGACTCAACAAGCAAAGCAACGCCTTTGCCCCCCTTAAAATGCACTGCATTCAAAGACTTGTAAAAGTAACGGTGGGATTATGGGAAAGACAGCAATATTTAACTCTCTCCCTACTGTAGTAGACTTGAAAATTTCTCATAAAACACAAGGTTTGACTTTTTGGTTGGGTTGGACTTTTTTCTCCCACAGCAGAAATCTGCCCAGAGAGGGTTCCTTACAAAGAATAAACAAGAGCTCTGAGAGCCTCACGAATTGCCTAAGTCCCCCCACTGTGGCCGCAGCTGAGCCGAGCGCCGGGGTGTAGGCTGAGACCAGCGCTACGCGGTGCCCAGTGCTCTCCGCAACGAACGGCCATGCTGGGGTGCCAAACTGCAAAGCACAGGCAAGGGACGGAGGGAGCAAACCGAGGCAGGTCTGGGGCGGGCGCAGCCCGAACGCCGGCTCCTTTAGACTCCGGGGCGCCTCCACCCCACCCAGACAGACACTTACTGAAAGACGTCTTCTGGGTTATCCATGGCGAGAAGCTGGCGCAGCCGCTCTTGTGCCACGAGCAAAGAGCCGCCGCCGATTCGAATCTGGCGCGCAGCCGCAATCGCCGCGCGGAGCGTTTTCAGGACATCTGGCCATTGGCCCCGGCTGCAGAGCGCTGGCCAATCACCACGGCCGTTGCCGGGAGACCAAGTTCCCGCCTTCCCCGCCCCTTGCTCTCCAGAAGCTCCTCCCACTTCCCCTAGCTGTCTTTTGAACAGAAACCCGGCCCCTGGCTTAGCTGGTGCTGGGTGTCCGGCCTGCGGCACTGGGAGCAGGCGCTAGCTTGGCTCAGCTTAGGGAACTTTTTTAAAAAGCCAAATTGTGACTGGTTTACATAATTACACCAGTAAACCATCATCCCAGGGAAAGCTTCGCAGGGAAAAATGTCTAAATCGCGGTCCCTGAGACGGAAAAACTGCCTTGGTCCTTGGGTCCTGACAATATGTACTCTTGCCTAAACACATAAATCAGAATCATGTGTGGTTCATGGAAAGCAGAAAAGTAATCCCGTTCGTAGGGTTGAGATTGCTGTTGCTCACTGCCGCAGAGCAGGGAGAAACGCCAGCCTGTGGTTTAGGACTGGGTCCCCAGCCTTTTGGCACCAGGGACCAGTTTCAGGAAAGACAGTTTTTCCACAGACTGGACTTTCGGATTACAGCTTCACATCACATCATCAGCGGATAACATCTCCAGTTTAGATAATCAAGCATTAGATTCTCAAAACGAGCGCACAACCTGAATCCCTCACCTGCGCACAGTAGGGTTTGTGCTCCTATGAGACTCTAACGTCTCCAATTTTCTGACAGCAGGGGGAGCTCAGACTGTGATGCCAGCGATGGCCGGAGGCTGTAACTACAGAGCAAGCTTCCCTGGCTAGCCAGCCCGCTGCTCACCTCCTGCTGTGTGCTCCTCCACCGTCTTCCCTCGCTGCCAAGAGGGTTGGGGACCTCAGGCTTAGGAGATGGCAGATGGGGATGACAGGGACAGCCCCCATTTCTGACAGTTTTCTATTCAGCATCCTTTGCTGTAAGAAAACCCAGATGTCCTGTGAAGTCTTAGTTCCAGACTCTAAAATGCTGTGGCAAAAATTAGGGAGTGATTCATCTCAATTCTCACAGAAAAACTTGAGTGGTTTTTGGCTTGGCGACTACATCCAACGTGGGGGCACATTGGGGTGGTGGACTTTGGGCCTTGATGTAACTGAGCTATCTGATAGGCTGTATGGGTGCCCTGGAGCAAACGGAGGAGGGGGTGCCCCACAAGGAACTGGAGCTGTTCCCCTATCCAGACGCTAATTAAAATGAGAAGAGAAGAGTTTAGGTAGATGCAGAATGCCAGTGAGAATGGTTTCAACATCTTTTTTGGGACCAAGCACCTTGGAAACCAAGTTCTTAGGAATCATAAAATCAAAAATAGAGACCTCCTCGTAAAGGAGTCCAGATGTCTAAGAAGTATGTAATATACTGATGCTTCCAAACTAAGAGTGAGTTGGAAAAGAGTTAGCCTAGCCTTCTCTGACCTTGGTTTTTAATAACTTCCCATTCTACCTCTCGAGATTGTTTCAAGGGCCACTTGGTAATGCAAGTAAAATATACAGAGCTATTCATGTGATTACCTTCCTTTTAGAAAGAGGTTGTGTGGATGCTTCAGCTTGCTTAGGCCTCTTAAGTTAAATGACTGAAAAAATATTTAGTAGCTTCTGAAGTCCTAATGCTCACAGAGTACAGAATTTTGTCCAGTGTGTTGGTTACTTTGGATCTACATAAGTATTTAATTTGTGTGGTTTATTACTCTCTCTAGGGTCTTTAGATAAGCACCAGTTCTGCTGAGACGCTTTTGGTCCCACCAACTCAACTTTTCAGCCATCTCTGATAGTGGCTCAATCACATTTCCTAATCACTTAGGACATGTTGAGTAAGAATCCTTCATGAACTAGGTGCTAATTACAACCTTGTCCAACTCAAACACAACTTGCCCTAACTAGTGATTTTGCCTGGTACATGAAAATACAGATGAAGATAATTGTTTAAAAGGTGATATAAAGAATGTGTATCTATAGCCACACACACACACACACACACACGTGTATATACAGAAAAGCCAAATGAGAGTTCAGACTATTTCTACTAAAGATGTTCAGAGGGTGGAGAGGAAATGGGGACCTGTTAGTCAGATATAGCTTCCCAGAGGTGAGGGCTTGAACTAGGCCTTGAAGTTGGGGGTGGATATAGGTGAGGCTGAGCTCAGGAGAGGTAATCTCAGGTGTATGTCAAGACTATAGGAGGAGATCACTCCTGAGGACTGTGTTAATGAGTAGGAGAGATTCTTTTATGAAAGATTGATTTGGTATTCTGGTGTTAAATCTTGAATTCTAGATTTAGACATTTGCACTTGATTACGGTAGTAACTGGGTCTTTTGGGAACAAATAAAAGTTGTGATTAGCTTTGAACAGTGGCAGTATTGTAGCTAATGAGGTTTAGCCAAGGCGCGATTATTGCTAATTGAACACTTTTCTGAAACCCCACTGTGTGGACTTGCAATGTAGTTGGCACTAGTGATTTTTGACAGTTGCTATGGAGACTAAAAAAGAAGAGTTGTGATCATATTATTTTCTAAAAGCCACAGAGATTGTCTGCCTTCCTTCACTTCTGCTTCTGGGTGTTCCTCTCCCTGAGGCTTCTTTATGGGTAGAAGCCATTGACTTCCTGGCTTAATCAATGATATCCCTTTATCCTCACTTACCAAAATCCCCCCTGTCATTCTTATTCTGAGGAAGAATTACTTAATAAGTGATCTTCCCACACAATGTGTTCATGTTAATGTCCCTGTTAGGTTAACCTAAATCCTGAACCTGGCAGTATTCAGGATTTATTGGAGAGAGGGGTATGGGATGGGGAGTAAAGGCAGAGAACAGCAATTTTCAGAGTTTAAACTGGCACTGGAGACAGAGAGAATGGAAGGTAAAGGGGTGAGTTAGAAGAAATCTCAGAACACTATGATATCTTCAATATGTAAGAAAAAGATTCAAAGAGAATTTGGAGGCCTAGGAGAATGAACAGAATCAGGCCATTGAAGCTGGGGGAAGGCCGCTACTTTGGTTTTAGACATGTTGAGTTGGAGGAGTTACCCTGTCCTTTTACAGGGTAAGACGAGATACAGGAGGAGGGCAGAGACGGATCAGATTCACAGACTTTAGAAGCTTGTTCAAGGAAGTTTCATATGCCATTTCTTTCTTTCTTTCTTTCTTTTTTTCTTTTTTTTTTTTTTTGCAGTTTTTGGCCAGGGCTGGGCTTGAACCCGCCACCTCTGGCATATAGGGCCGGCACCCTACTCCTTTGAGCCACAGGCACCGCCCCCATATGCCATTTCTTTTTTTTTTTTTTTTTTGAGACAGAGCCTCAAGCTGTCCCCCAGGGTAGAGTGCCGTGTCATCTCAGCTCACAGCAACCTCCAACTCCTGGGCTCAAGCGAGTCTCCTGCCTCGGCCTCCCAAGTAGCTGGGACCACAGGCGCCCGCCACAATGCCTGGCTATTTTTTGGTTGCAGCCGTCATTGTTGTTTGGCGGGCCCGGGCTGGATTCAAACCCGCCACCTTGGGTGTACCTGGCTGGCGCCTTAGCCACTTGAGCCACAGGCGCCAAGCCCATATGCCATTTCTTAATCCTAGAAGGATTTTTATTTTTTCCTGAGAGCTTCACATTATTATCTTTACATGGCAGAAATAAATGAAGAACCTCCGAATAGTTTTATACTTTGATGAAAAAAAAATCTAAAAAGCCCAAAGAAATACTGGCAACTTATTTAAATCAATATAAGCAAAAAATACCAAAGGACCAGCATCTTTAAAAAACTCACTCAGGCCTCTGACAGCACTCGAATGTTTGTCTGTTCTTACCCTTGTCCTTTTTAATCTTCTCTGCCCTTTTCTTTTGGGCCTGAGTTGAGAGTGAAGCACTTGTCATGGAATAGCTAAGAGTCTGTTAAGTAGTAATCCTTGCTTCATGAATCCATTCCTTCCTTTCCTTTTTGGCATCATCGTTGACTTAGTGCTTCTATTACCTTATGTCCCCAACTCCCACTCCCCCAGAGTGGGAGAGTGGAGGTGTGCCTTGGTCTGGGTGCGAGCTATGATTAATTGTAGGCCTTTCCTGCAATAGGTACAGAAATGTGCAGCCATCACTCTCTTTTCCTGTCCAACTCTAATTCATCTCATAAGCTGATTTCAATATTAAATAAGCTTATCCGTGTATAAGAAATGACTCTAATAAGTTTCCGTAATTATTAGGAAGGCCAATAGTATCTTCATTTAGATACGGATTTTCAGTGACTTGTTATTCCAACATCATAGTTTCCAAACTTATTGGAGAAGGAAAACCAGGCCATATTAGGATACCTAAGCTCCAATCTAAGAAGCAGCAAATGGACAAATGGCATCAAATCTCAATCTGGGTGTCAATTTCCTGATCTATAAAATGAATAAATTGTCTTCATAATGTTTACATTGATTTTCACTATCATAGAACCTCATAAGATTTTCCACCTAATACCTGAGCTCTATTGAGTTGTCACACCATATCAAAGTCAGCGCTATGTTTCAAAAGGTCTCTCGATTATATTGGTTTGATCAAAGCAAATGATCATAGATACCTATGTATCTTCCTTTCCCTGAAAAATTTAGAGAAATTTGGAGTAGCAGTATTAGATGTGTGGCTAGCTGGCTGTACCCTAAAACAACACATAAGGCTAGAGATTTCTACAATAATTAGAACAGTTACAGGAAACAGAGGAGTGATACAGGGGATGATAAAATATTAAGAATAAAGTTTATATGCAGAAAGGAGATATATACCTCCATTTTAGAATTTTTTTTTTCTTGTGACTTCACAAGTTGCCTATGGGACAAAAGCCCAGAGTCCACCCTGTATCACTACAGTCTAGGAGGAAGGATGGAATGGGGGGCTAGGGTTGTGACTCTTTGTCCCCTAAGAACCTCCCTAGTAATCTTTAATAGAATGTATAGTCCAGCATGCCATGCTGGTATTTGAATAAAGAGCCAAGTGAAATGTTATTTCCATTTGGAGTGCGGCAACAGAGATCAGAGGCCCAATCCCTCTCTTCTTCCCATTTTTTCCTATTGGAGACAAGTTGATTCTTCATAAATTTAGTTGTGCATCACGGCTGCTTGTATGTTATCCAAGCTGGCCTGGCTCAGCTCTGGGTACCTCTTCAGACTCCTTCCCTTGTGTCAACTACAAACTTCTTTGGCTTCTGTTCTTGAACACTGGTTGGATCCTTCCATTGTTGTGTAAGTTTTGCTGACTTGAATTCTGGGCCAACTGTTCACTAATACTTAGGAAACCAGATATAGCAAACTTTAATCTTAGAATTGAAAGCCTACTTGAGACACGTCACTTCCCTTCATTAAGGGTGTTTTCCTAAATTTCTAGGTCTCAGTCCTCTCCAACTCAGCTCCTCAAATCCTAGTTGAGTGGGATAATTTCCATGATCAATGCCAGAGTCTAGCTATTGATCATGGCTATTCTCAAGCCTTCCTCTGTCACCAGGCATCTAGAATATAGCTTGTTTTCCTCTCCTCCTCTAGGCTATTCCTTTCCTCTCCTATTCTATCACCTATCCTATTCTCTGTGACTTATAAAATAGGATGGATGAGAAGGTCTCTTCAGATCCCACCACCTTTCCTTTGGACCTCTGAAAATTTGCTCAAATGATATATTAAAAACATTTTGTAGAGTTCAGATGTTGCCTAATTTTTGTTTTTTGCTTTTTTCCTTTATATGTCTTCCTAAATCTTTTCCTTCTCTTTTGCTGATTGATGGCAAATCTCACTTCATCGTTTCTCTCCTCCACAAAAGAACTATTCTATGCTCTAGAGTAGAGAGATGGGATGACAGGATAGACAAATGTTAGACTGTATAACTGGCCCCTGCACCAAAGGAGTCTTAGACCAGAAATATATTTTTTCTCATTTGGGAATTTATTTTACAAATGCTTACAACAGTTAAGTCACATTGAGTTCTAAGCACAATAAATCACCCTTACTGGAAAAATAAATAACTGGAAAATTTTATATTGAAAAGGAGATTGTTGGGTAAAAATACCAGGTACTTGAAAAAGTAACTTGAGATTTATGAGGGAAATTTCTCCCCTTGAATTGCTGGGTAGTAATTGAAGATACAAATAGTGTATTTCCTACAGAAAAGTTTTATTGATAAAATACCACCCTGAAGTTGATTAGAAGATTGAGGAAGGAAAGAAAGGAGGAGTTCTGGCTTCTCTGAAAAAAATCACCACTCAAATCATACATCAGGGAAGTGTCAAGCTCTTAGGAAAAACAGCCAGCTACCACCAGGCCCTGGCCAGCTTTATCATAAAGGTGATGGTTTGGGCATGCAAGTTGAGACAGTTGACTATATCTCTCTTGATGTGATGACTGACCAATCCCTTTCTTGATTCTGACAGAGGCCTTCTGTTTCCGCCACACCTGGGTATAGGCAATTCAATTCTGGCCCACAGTTAGCATCAGACTCCATAGGTTTAAGGGCAAAGTTTCCAGCAAGACTACCCTTACATCAGATGCCAGCCACAAGTTCAGGAATTCCCAGGCCACCAACACTTCAGACTCACTGGCTACCAAATTGGGAGTTCCCAGGACCCCCTCCCCTCTGCCTCAATCCAATAATTCACTAGAATGACTCCCAGAACTCAGGACAGCTCTATGCTTTTGATTATAGTTTTATTACAAAGAATACACATAGGTTTAGGTCTGAGAGGGTCTTGGACATGGAGCTTCCTTCCATGTCATCTCCCCAGGTAGCTGGGGTGCATCACTCTGTTGGCACAATGGTGTGTTCACCAACCACAAAGCTTCACTGAACTTCAGTACCTAGAGTTTTTATTGAGGGTTCATTACATAAGCATGGTTAATTAAATCATTGGCTACATGATTGAAATTGATCATCAGTGCTCTGTAAGTCTGGAGAACTGGGCAATATCACAGGGCTCAAAGCCCCAACCCTGTAATCATGTACTTGTCATTCTAGTGACCAGCTTGCATCCTGAAGCTATCTAGGGGTTACTATGGGATTGCCTCATTAGCATAACAAAGACACTTCTACCACTCAAGAAATTCCAAGGTTTTTTTAATTCCAGGTACCCAGGGAAATGACCAGATTTGTTATTATACCACAGAGGTGATCTGTATCTTTGAGGATAAGCTCAAAATTTTATTAGCTTTAACAATATCTCTACTTTATGAAATTATCTATACTCTCTGGAAAGCCACATTGCCCTCTTACCAAGTTGAAAAGCAAGCAGTATTCTCGCTCAGATTGGTTTTGCTTCTGGTCCTTCAAAGAACTGGACACTTCCCAATCTAGAGAAAAGAGCTGAGATACTGGCTCAGACTTGGCAACTTAAAAACATCCAGTTTCAGAGGGGAGGGAGGCAAGATGGCCGACTGAAGCTACTTTTCAGCAGAGGCTCCCATCCAGAGGGAAAAATAATGGTCAAAATAATCCAATAACACAGAAGCTCAGGAGCTGAGCTGAGAGAGAGTTTCG